CCCAATAGAACTTGAATATGAACCTACCGCAGAGCACAGTAACACCTAGACCGTGGGGTATCAAGAATTGGAAAAAGAAAAAGAAGAACACATTATTAGGAATACTAGAGAAGATCTTTGTAGACATCTTAAAAATTAGAAGATCTTTAATGAAATACAAGAAAGATTTTTGAGAAGAAGACCAAGTTTTAAAAGAGAAAAGAAGAGTAAGAAGAACAAGAAAAGAAGAGAAAAAGATCTCTATACCTAAATACGGAAGAAAGAGAACTCAGGCAGACTGATCAAGACCTCGAAACAAAGAAACCAAAAGAAAACTTAAGGTACTTGAAGAAAAAGAGAAAGAAAAAAAGAAGGTATAGAAGAGTATTCCCGGAAGAAACCGATAGATCAAGCTCTTAAACAGAAGAAGAAAGGAAGTATAAAGCTATAAATCAGGAAGAGAAAGTTATAGAAAAGATCAAGAGAAGACTCTCAAGACCCGGGTCGCAAATTGGAAAAGACAGGGTAAACTAGAAGAGAAGAAAAAGGAAAAAGAAATATAATCATGAACGAAAAAATTTTGGCAATATCCTTGTGTCAAAAAAAGAAGTGTCTTAGTTTATTTATAAAAAATTAGATTTAAAACTTTGTTCAAAAAAGGTGGATAGTTTAGAAAGGAAAAATTGCCAATGTAATGTAGTTAAAAATTCATTCATTTTGAAACCATCTTGTGATGGTTTCCTAGGCTAGCTTGGTATAGCCCTCCGATATAGACAATAGCCTTAACCGATGAGGCAGACTGCACTTGGGCACTTTTAAGAGCAGCTGAGTGATGTCAGATCTTTAACTTAAATAGCTTAAATGTATCTTGTGCATGCTTTGATTTAATAAAAGATACTGGCAAGGCTGCCGATACATGTGAAAAAATAAAAAATAAAAAATAAAACCTTATAGATGACTGTGCTCAAAAATATGAAGATTCAAAGTAATCTTTAAATTATATAATCAAAATTATGAGAAATTTAAAAAAAAAAACAAAATAAATTATTATAAAAAATTTTTTTATTGTGGGTTGCAAAATTATATGAAATTTGATCATTAAAAAAAAAGTAATTACTGATTTCTGATTACTGATTTCTAATTTCTTTAATATTTTTTTTTGACTTTTAGACTTGACAAAATTTGTATATTTATTATTTGTAAAAATTTGATTGAATATTTTAATTCGCAACTTCTATTTTTGCAAATATATTACAAAATAATAAGTATGCAACTTTTATCTCTATAAAAATAATAAAATTTTTACAAAATAATAACTACACAAATATTATCTAATTTAAAAGTCAAAAAAAATATTAAAGAAATTGAAAAATCAGTAATCAAAAATCATGATTACTTTTTTTAATAATTTTCAAATTTCATATAATTTTACAAACTACAATAAATAAATACTCTCTTTTTTGTGATCCAAACTAAATTACTACAAAAATTTGTTGGATTTATCTTTAAAGTACATTGAATAAAGCCTTTTTTTGATTAATTTATTCTAATAGTATACTTTAAAAAAACTATCTAATTTTGCTATTAATACTACTACAAAAATAATTAATTAGTATTATAAATACATTTTATACTAATCAATCAAGTATATAAAGAGCAATTTATTTTAGCTAGTAGGCTTCGAAGAATTTAAATATGCAAACATTTTTGGCACCACCAAAGTATAACAAATTATATATATATAAAAATTTTTACAATATATATCAAAAATATATAAATATATATACGTATTTTAAAATAGCATCTATCTAAAATTTCTACTCTAATAAAGAAGAGTTATGCAACAAAGCATCTAATAAATAGAAAATACTAAAAAATAATAAAAACAAAATTCAAAATAAGGTTTCAGATTACTTAAAAGGAGCATCAGAAATTAGCTGATTTTTTAGAGAAGGAGGGGGTAAAAAAAATTATCAGGTATATAGTTTTAGCTAATTAAAATTTTTTATTTAAAATCAGGTAGGAGAGAAGGGGGTAGCCTCTTAATAAAAAAATATCAGCTGATAAATAGCCCTCCTCTAACTATACCAATTTATATTTATAGAAATATGCAAACTATTAGAACTATTCAAATACAATCTCAAATTAGTTCATCTATGAATTCATCTAGCAATTCATCTAATATTCTAGAAGAAATTTCAGAAGAAATTTTATATAATGCAGTTATTCAAAAAAGAATTATAGAACTGATTCAAAATGCAAATAAAGAATTAGATGAAATAAAAAAAAATTGTGGTGATTACAACAAATGCAGAATTAAAAACACAATTTGTTTTACAATTAATAATATACAAACTTAAATTAACAATAAAAAAAATCAACTTAATA